ATAATCTAGAAAAGAGAGGCAGAGATATAAGCAAATCAGTGCTCTGAAAAGTGTTATAGGAGATATAACAGCATGCCTGGTGCCTCAGTGGGGACCATATTTGAGAGGTGGGAGGTGGGAGTGGTGACAGGAAGAGTGAGGATGTGGGATGAAGAAAGACATGGAGGTGGAAGTAGGAAACAGTGGATCTATTTGGGTGAAATTACTAGTACTAGTATATTGGTATGGGACTAGCATGGTGTGGAGTGGGATGTGGTTATGGCAAGAGAAAAGCTGAATATTTAGAACTGTAGATGATTTGTTTTGGAATTTGGATTTTATCCAAAGGATTTACCAGAATGTGTCGTTTGGGATGGTGATAGGGAAAAAGAAGGGGTTTTCTATGGTCAAAACTATGTGAGAGGCACCAACTGAGACAAAGCAAGTGTATTCACTGCAAAGCCTCTCAGACCCTTTATACTGGGTAGCATTTCCACAGTTGTTTGACTACTTAACTTGCTTGAAAGGGTATTTTCTGTTTTTCATAATATGATTCGGGAGACCTTGCAATATGCAATGGGGAATCATGAAAACTTTTCAGCAGAGAATTATAGATAATTGTGTAATCTGATTCTGTTCTTAACACATAGTGTAATATTGCTTATTAGAATTCTTCAACCAGTATTTTTTAACACCAGATATTTTCAGAATGATGTGCTAGTTACTCTGGGAAATGAGAAAGATGCATAAGTTGTGTCTGACAAAAACATGTTGATTATCTATAAATGTTTTTCATCTATTCAAGTATTTGAGTCAAAGGCAATACAAAAGTGAGGAAGTTGAGGATAAACTTGAGAATTAGAGATGTTCGTGGTGGCCCTTGTTTAATGCTGATTTCTACAGGATGTCTAATGCTCATTCTTTTGCCAAATATTGTCACCACTCAGAAACATGAGCTTCTTTTGCTTCTTTTAGGATGAGAATTGTGTCTGGCTAGTGACCTCACCCAGGCACCTCAGGAAGTACAGTGGAAAGAAAGCTAACAAATTGAAACTTTAATTTTCTTTTTTGGGGGGTGACTGTTAACTTGGCCCTCAGAAGTACCGTATCATCAACATATTGGAGCTTTGGTATATTCAGGTGGAATCTTTAGAATATATCATAGGTGTATCCAAGGAGTTTGGAGAAAAAATTTAAAGGTGAAAGAGAAAGGGAAGTTGCATCTCATGGAAACATAAAGATCAAATCTAGAAATCTGAGTATGTCTCACTCTTTTTACTTAATTCTCTACTTTATTTCTCAGTACCAAGGGAGAGGTTCTTCAAATAATCTTGTATTAATTGAATCCTTAAGCTTTATTATCAGTCATATAATCTAATAGGTACACATAGAATCAGATTGTCTAGAGTGGGTTGGTACTACTTCAGGCTTTTAATCAGCAGTTGTGTAGTGATCAAGAGCACTAGCCCTCGAGCTAGCTGGTCTGGATTCAAATCTATTAAAACATTCAGTCCAATTATCCAAGGGACCTGCTCTTTATTAGCTTAGCTGTAATATTTTAGGCAAATTATTTAACCTCCCTATATCTCTGTTTCTTCATCTAAAAATGGGGAAAATGAAAATAGATATCTCATAAGGCCATGAGGATTAAAAGAGATAATCCTGCCGAGACTGGTTTGGCTCAGTGGATAGAGCGTCGGCTTGTGGACTGGAAGGTCCCAGGTTCGGTTCCGGTCAAGAGCATGTACCTTGGTTGTGGGCACATCCCCAGTGGGGGGTGTGCAGGAGGCAGCTGATTGATGATTCCCTCTCATCGATGTTTCTAGCTCTCTATCCCTCTCTCTTCCTCTCTGTAAAAAATCAATAAAATATACTAAAAAAAAAAAAAAAAAAAAAAAAGATAATCCTGTGAAGTGCTTAGACTGGTACCTGCCACATGCTATGGGTTTCATCAACTGTTATTTTTAGGATATCTCTATCCAAACTTTTTTTTTTAGGATAATTCATTGTGGAAATCCATCAAAGAGCAGTTAGCTTTCTGGCTTAAATAGAATTCTGTCTTTGGAGAACGGCCTGCTAATTCTAAATAGGACTTGGTATAAATGGACTATTAGAAAATTTTAATTCTATAATTTAAAAATATAGCCAATACTTATACACTTAATAATAATAGCTAACATTTGCTGAGCTTATACTATGTACCAAGAGTTGTTACAAGTCCTTTTTACCAATTAACTAATTTTAGAGTTGAGGAAACTCACATTTGAATCATTGAGGTGGTAAGTGACCTGCCCAAGGTAATACAACTAGATAGGGGCAGGACCAGGATTCAAACTGAGGCCAGCTGACTCCATAGCTCACACACATCCATCATGATAACCCATCTTTCATGTAAATGCATCCTGTATTTTAGATAGGTTTGCCAAAGTGTTTTATTTTATTTACTGTAAACATAAAGGGCAAAACATTAGTGAAAAATTAATTTTGCTAAATCATTACAGCATAAGCCGAAACCGGTTTGGCTCAGTGGATAGAGCGTTGGTCTGCGGACTGAAAGGTCCCAGGTTCGATTCCGGTCAAGGGCATGTACATTGGTTGCGGGTACATCCCCAGAAGGGGGTGTGCAAAAGGCAGCTGGTCGGTGTTTCTCTCTCATCGACATTTCTAGCTCTCTATCCCTCTCCCTTCCTCTCTGTGGAAAATCAATAAAAATATATTTATTGTAAAAAAAATCATTACAGCATAAGAGAATTTCTTTTTCTGTTGTAGAGATAAATTACTCTTGGTGCCACATCTTAGAGCCATTTTAATTATGATTCTTTTGTTCTTTGGAAGATTATGAGTTTGATTTCACCAAGGCATACAAACACAAGCATCCATTCTTTAGAACAGTTTTTCACTTTACATCTCAGCTACATATTTTTGGAATAGTGTTTAAGTAATGTCACTTTGCATGCATCTTGAAAAATAAGCTTTTTTCGCGCTATAATTAGGGTTAAAACATAAAAATAATTAGGGTAACATCAAATCCTATTCTATGAAATACACATTTTGTACGATTTGAAAATGCAGAACATTGAGAAAAATATTCTTTTTTTGTAGTCTTCAGTATAAAAATACTACACTTTGTAAAAAGTTATCATTTCTGTTGCTTTACTTTATTGGCACTAATGTAGCACTTTCTGGGTTTTTTAAAGAAAACTGGGCAAAACTAATTTGCCACTAGATGGAGCCCTGGCTATTTGGGTAAAAATAAATGCAACAGAGTGGGAACATTAAATCACGCAGTCATATCATGCTTGAGGGCCCCGGGTATAGGAGGCCCTCAGCTTTTAATTGTAGAATGCATCTTTGTTCTTTGCCTGACCTGCAGAGTGACATCACTCCCTTTCTTCCTGTGCGCTGGCTTTGACACAAGCCAGATGGCCGCAGTCATCGGTAGGCGCACAGGCTGCCTGGTACAGCAGTTGATGAAGCAGAATAGGAAGACGTTTTATGATCAGCTGCGGGAGCACAGTGAGGCCGTGGCTTTGCTAAGTAATTACATTTACCTTGCACACTTTATCCCTCACAGAGAAGGTCACAAGGAAAAAATACATTTTTATTTATAGTGTTGTGAGGTATAGACCTTTGATCTTTTATTAGTCAGTAGTCTGCTCCAAAGGAATGCTCTCTTTTCCCCTGCTCTGCAATCACTCGTGGAAATGGCATGTTTATTTACATTTAATGGTTCTTTCAGGCTGTGCATTATGATACTTACCTTCCCTCTTCCTCCCTTTTGTCTCCAGTTAGTCACACAAAAAATGTTTTAGTTTTGTAGTGAGTTTAGTTTGGAGAAGTCAGAGTTCAGGCATGTTAATACAAGCAGATTTCTGTCAGATATACTCCAGAGTGATTTGGTTAAATATATTACTGTTTATTATGTGTTTGTTCTTCAAGGAGGTCAGAAGAGACCAGGAACAGACTTTTATTTTGGGGGGCTGAAGGTCAGGAAATGAACTAGACATTAATTTTATATCCATTTTTGAGCATGTAGTGGTTAAGGTCACTTATAATGCCAATTTTAAGGAAAATATTGGAAGTTAATATTAATCTATTATTTTCCATCTGCACTTGAAGTTAATCTTTACCAGCAGAAAGACTGTACAAAACTTTAAAGAAAATACCGACTGCACTTTTCTCTGAAGTTCATTACTCACACATTTTTGAGATTCTTCCACAAGACTCATTTCTAAAAACTTTGAAAAATTTCTTTGCCATTTTTAAGACTAGTCTGTGAATATTATTCACCGAATTAATGTAGAAATTATAAACTATAAAATCAAATGAAAAATTTATCTTCGCTATGTTTTGTTTAAACTTAACACTGTTTCTAAAGTGAAGTCTCTGAGTGGTCCCTAGGTTATTTGGCTCTCTATTAATAAAAAATGAAACTCTAATAAAAGAAATCTCTTAATCTTACAATATTTTATAGTCTTCTCCGGGGAGGGCGATTTGCAAATATTGCCGGAAGAAAGCAGTGTGGTGTAAGGAAAGAACATGGCTTCGCAGTAGGTGTTACAGGGTTTTCTAATCCTTTTCACTGGTTATTTGCTTTGTGCCCTTGGACCTCTGAGCCTCGGTTTCCTCACATATTTATTGGGGGATAAAACCTACCTCCTAGGTTTACTGCAAGAATGAAATGATACAATGTGTTTATTAGGCCCCAGACAGTTCCTGTCACATGGTACAAATTTAGTAAATGCTAATTCCTTTCAACTGTTTTAAAAGTTCGTCTCTTTTCTGAACGGCTTGCAAAATGTGTTCACAGGTTACACTGTTATTCTTGTATATATTTTATTCATAAAATATAAATAATCCAGGGTTGAAAGTAAGCTCACCATTTGAAAAGTAGGCGTTTGAAATTTATTAGCTCTGTGTATGCACGTTCAGTTCCAGATAAAACCATAACCAACAATTGTACAATGGATGTGTTTACCATTTGTGATGTTTTAATTTTTTTCTTTTTTTCTCCTACTCAGCTCTTGCCCCTGTTCTTTGGCTCTCGTTTTGTTGGTGAAGATAGCACAGTGATGTCTGCATTCAACCTGCTGCATTTGGTGACAAAGAGCCAGCCAGTGGCCCTCCGAGCCTGCGGGCTTCCCTCAGGTCACTGCTTCTTGCACTCTACCTAGTGAGGGCACTGGGCGGGCGGGCGGGCGGGTGTTTCTGCTGCAGGAAATGATACACCATAATGCTTTGCCAAATTTCGTTTTCTTTTACGTAGGCCCTAATTTGAAGACGGAAATTGGTTATAAATCACCACTCTATTTGGAGTAACATTCATTTCCACAATACTTACAACCCTTGGAAACATTGTGCAGTTTTCTAGTTCATTATATAATTGTCACTAATATTTCATGATATCTTCTTGTTCTTTAAAGCACACTACACATCTGAAAATCATAATGCTGTTCATAAGAGGCTGGCAGTCTTGATAAGAAACTGCCCAAAATCACACAAAATAAGACATTCATCTTGTTAAAGGACAATGAAATACTTTTTATTCCACATATGGCTATTCCTTTAGGAAATTAAAAAAAAATTAAAATGAACAATTTTAGTATAATAAAGTTAGTTAAAAAGAAAAAAATGTTCTACTGAACAAATGACCAAATCAACAGAACTAATATAGCATGCTTCAACTGGTTTTTAAATTAGAACCACCACACTTTAAAAAAATGTGATTTTATGCACTTAAACAAATGCAGCATGAAAGTCCAAAATTTCATTATATAAAATAAGTTTAATAATTTAACTTATTTAAAAAATCACAATGGTCAGATATGTCTGTGAATATTGTCATTGTTATTTATATTTTCTATTAACATACATATCTTGATTACTGTTTGTATAGAGAATGCCAGTTTATTAATATTCACAGTTGAATATTAATTGTGAGTGCCAGGCATTGTGTGAAGCAGTGAGATCAAGCCGGTTGCTTTAACCAGTACAAAACGGAGCTGGAGCTGTGTGAGGACCATTGAACCACATAGTGCTAAGAATAGGCCAAAGGTATTTATACCTGGGAAGTTAGGGGAGTCCAGACAAGGCTAGTCCTAGCTCTTTGCTTTGGAAAGGAGAGAAGTTCTCTGAAGTTTAAGGTGGGCTTCATGGAGGATATAATGTTTGAGCTGAATCTCATTCTATGAGCAACAATCAGCCAAGTGTCCAAAGAGGAGGAAGGACATTTCTAAGATAGGGAGTAGCTTGGGCAAAACATCCGAAAAAGCCAGTTATGTCCAGAGAAATGTAGGTTATTTATTATGGCTAGCTTGGGTGGGTGAAGCAAGTAGAAGAGAAGAGGGAAAAAAGATAGCCAACCAGGAAGTGCCTTATATAAAGTTTTAAGGAATTTAAATCTCAGGGAAGGGGTGAAGGGGAAATGGCATGACCTAATTTGCATCTTATGATTACTGATTTAGTAGGGTGGAAGGTCAGTGCAGATTCCAGATGTTTCTGCAAGAAGGCAGGAATGGCACCTTGATTAGAAGGGAAGATAGAGCATTTGTCTTAAAGCTATATTAGCATAGTAAACATCTGTTTAAAAAAATAGGTTGTATGTCTATTTGTGGTGACATGAGAGACTAATGGAGCTCAGTGCACAGGGCCACAGTCACTCTTCTCAACTCTGCCTCCCCGACCCAGCTGTGGCCCTGCGCTGCCACCATGGATTACATTGGGGCAGTCTGAGGCCTGAGGGACTCAGGAAGTGCTGAGAACCTTCACAATGGTCCTTACAGTAGGTAGGGAAAGAAGAAGGATGGATTAGGGAGAGCTTCAGGTTGTAGAACTGATAAGGTTTATCTGTTTAATTGTATGTATTTGAGAGAGAACACTAATCAATGTAGTCCCTGTGCCATGTGGAACTTTTCATAACTATATAATATTACTCATAGCAGTTGGAGTCTGAAAGTTATTTAGTTTATACATGTTTCCCACTGGGAAAAACAAAACAGACCCAACATGTGAGAGCACCAGCGCAACTCTTGAAACATGAGCTTGCTATACACAGCAGAGACTAAGTATTTACAGAAACAGTTTATTAATTAACGGTATTCCTGGGGATATGACAATAATGGCATTGAAGTATTTCATAATGAAATTCTTTGAGATATAAGTGTCCCTTTAAATGTTGATATCAAAATGATTCAAAGATAAAGTCAACAAAGCTGGTAATTCTTAAGAACTAACCATAATAATATAGTACTTAAGCACTCACATTCTGTATTTGAAATCTGGCTTTGCCACTTAACTAGCTGTTTGCCTTGGCTTCCTCATTGTATTATTATTGGAATAGTAATAATAGTACTCACCTGGCCCTAGCCAGTTTGGCTTAGTCTGGATAGAGCGTCTACCCGTGAACTGAAACATCCTGGGTTTGATTCTGATCAAGGGCACATGCCTGGGTTGCATGCTCAATTCCAGTAGGGGGCATGCAGGAGGCAGCCAATCAATGATTCTCATAATTGATGTTTCTATCTCTCTCTCCCTCTTGCTTCCTCTCTGAAATCAATAAAAACATATTTAAAAAAGATAAATAGTACTCACCTGAAAGCTTGCTGCAAGAATGAATAGATTATAATGAGAAAACTGCTTAGAACAGTGGCTGGCATAGAGCAAGCACCATATAGAAATGTTCACTAAGTTTACTATACATATCTATAGATATATGCATGTATCTATATATCTACCTACATATATTATAATTTTCTAGTACAATAGACTTTTAAAAACATTTAAATTTGTCCCATTTTTCACTTAACTATTTTTATTTTAATATGAAACAAAATGTACTTTATGTTTGAGAAGTAACCATCTCAATATGACATCTTGATTTCTTTATTTTTCCTATATATCCTGCTGAGCCAGAATTCAAGGCCTATTGGTATAGAACACATTTCTTTGGAAGCCCAGAGAAAGTCTGTCTTTCTGGCTTGGAAACCCATTTTAATTTGATAAATGAATTGCATAGAATAGTACCCAACAATTCATTAGACATTCACACTTTTTAAAGTGTTATGAAAGCCAGTCTTTCATTATTTGCATAATAATAAATTTTAACAAATTCTTTATCACCCATTTCTCAAACAGAATTTTACTTGTAGAAATATAGAAATGTTGAAGAAATTAAGTACAACAGTAATAAACAATTTACATTTTGGGGAAAAAATGTAATCCAAGTGGGAAATCTAGTCTTTATTACTTTGTACAAGTAGAGAGGGAAGAGGTCAAAATTGGAGATATAGGAAATTAAGGTGAAAGTTTGAAGTCTTGCTTTAATTTATTGTTCCCTGGTCAAAACCCATTACGACAAAAGTCTCTGTAAATCAAAAAGATTTCTGCTCCCTAGCCAGTACCCTACTAATTTCAGGTATTATTCAATATGAAATAATTCCAGAACTAAAAAATAATTGGAACAGGCTCTTAAAGTTGATTATAACCGGATTGACCTGTTTGAAGGCCATATCCCAGAAGAGTGATCTATCATTTTTCAGCTTTGACTTCCTTTACTTCTTATTTTTAAGTAAAGCATAATTTTAATTTAGAGCTTATTAAGTGCATCTGAGTTATGGTTTGCTCATGTTTGTAATTAAAGGTAATTTTTTCTCTCTTGGAATTTCTTCTTAATTTACTAACAGTTTCTTTTATATATTAAAAAGAGCACTGGAATAGGAGTCAGAAAACTAACCACAGCTCTGTAATTAACTTCCCATGACCTTGAATATATCAGTAAACCTTTCCAGATCTTAGTCTCTTTATCTTTAAAATGAGAAATTTGAATTACATCATCTCTGAAATTTTGTGATTTTTCCCCCCCATTTGTTTTTACTTTAGCTTTTAAACAAACCTTAAAACAGCTCTGATCAATGGTTGGGAGTTTACGGAACAGTCTGAAAGATAGCGGTGGGAGGACAGGAATATCCTCCATATTTGAGCATTGGAATTCTTTCCTCCAGATCAAGAGTGAGGCAGTTATTTGAGGAGGGATTAAGGGGCTCAATTTTATGCGTAGTTTCAATGCTTGATAAGAATTAAATCTAATTGTAGCTTAGACTGGATAGCATGTTAGTTTTAAGCCAAGTGAGAGTATTTGTCTAAATAGTACTGATTACTGTGATTAATTATATTATTCTCTAACATCGTACACATAATATGTGGTTGTTACTCTTACTAGATTTTAGTGGCAGTTTGTTCTAATGTAGAAATTAGAAGTCTTAAAGAGAGATATTTTCCAAATGGAGTTTGTAAGTAATCCCTATATCTATATATATAAAAGCCTAAGAGACTGTTGTGACTGAACAACCAGTCGCTATGATGCACACTGACCACCAGGGGGCAGATACTCAATGCAGGAGCTTCCCCCTGGTGGTCAGTGCACTCCCACAACGGGAGCGCCATTCAGCCAGAAGGCCGGGCCTGTGAGGATTGGGCTGAAGCCTGCAGTCTGACATCCCCTAAGGGGTCCTGGATTATGAGAGGGCACAGGCCAGGCTGAGGGACCCCACCAGTGCATGAATTCATGCCCTGGGCCTCTAGTAGAATATAATCTATGTAACTAGAAGTCTCTATGAATCAGGGACTTGTGGCTCCAGAGCTTAGCACAGTGCCTGGCACTTAATAAATATTTGTTATATAAATGAATAAATGTTTGGAAAGACTGCATGGAGGTGAAGTGACAGCTATAATGCTGATACAAATTTATTTGAGACTTTTATATGGGAAAATTAAAAGTAAAACTGATTGTCTTTTGAGTGAAAAACAATTTCTCTTTTCTCACTTATAGTGGATATCTTAGATATGAATCACATTGTAGTTAAGCAAATAACAACACAAATTTTAGTGTATATTATCCAGACTTTTACTTTTTCTCTCAGTTTGAATTTTGGTGGTAAATAAACTATTTGAGGAAGGGAATAAGTGCATATTATACTTATAATAAGAATTAAGAATTCTAGCTTTTTGAGCACTTCTATCTGGAACAAACTAATATTGTTTGTTGTGCTCTAAATTCTCCATTTGTAAAGAGGAAATGCATATAAAGACATAGATACCAAAACAACATCCATTAATAAGTACTTATTATTGTAGTTTGAGCTGGCAATAGT